ATTCCTTGCCTGTGGAAGACTCCTACTCTGTGCAGTCGCTTGTAAGTAACACTGGTGTCGGTGCTCCAGTAGAAGGAGAAGCTGCAGAGCGCGGGCTCGATGAGTCGAAACTGTTCTTCAGGGTGCTACACGCCCGCCCAAGCAAATTGAAAAGAGGCCCTGCCCCGATTGCTGCCCCTCCAACCTTCCCGGTAGACTCGCTGGTTGTCACCGTGCATTCATCCATTGCTGGGGACGGTGAGCCTGTCATTGACATCAACTCACGTGCTGTGCCACAGTTGCTGCTGTCGCTTGAGTCGTGCGCTGTGCGTGAGAAGCTGTTGCAGTGGTCCCCCAAAGGCTTTCAACGCGACCCTGACACAGGACGATGGCTAGCGCAGCTCACTGACCCAACTCCAGTTTGCAGAATTGATGAGCAGCTTTCTCTTGATGATGTGGAGTCCATGGACACCATGCAGTTATTTCTTACCCTTGAGCGGAACGGCTTCACTTGGGCAAAACTTCCCGAACGTAAGAGTGACAGGCAGGCCCTGAAATTTGCACCAGGTGACCCCAAGATCTTTTACACGTCGTCCCATGCTGTTTCTTCTGGCTATCTGTGTTGTCTCTTGCTCGCGGACAGGCTTGTAGGTGACGGTGAGGAACAGGTCCCGGCCATACCGCACTGGGTGTCTAAGCCTGCCAAGGTGTACCCAGCCATCTTGCATGGAAGAATCAGTGAGCTGCAGAGACTGCAAGAGCCCTTGCCAGCTCTCATGGCCGACGTGGACGATGAGGAGCCACATCCAGCATTGGCTGCGGCGCCCCATGCCAGGCCGGGGGCAGAGGTTGCAGACGAGGGTCAGGGCAGTGCCCGAGGCAGTGATGCGGATTCGGACTCAGTGCTGAGGGAGCTAGAGCGGCTGATGGAAGCTGACGAAGTTGATTCTGTAGGCGAGAACCAGTCTGTAGATTGCGAGGAGGCTGCTGTCGAAGTTGAGGATTTGCAGGACGTGCACGCTCATGCTTCAGAAGCACATGCTGAGGAGGTGCAAGAAGAACCGGTGTCAGGGCCGCCTGACGTTGATCATCACGTGGCAGAACCAGAGAGTGCTGATGCTTCCGATGTTGGGAGCCCTGAGCAGATCATTGCAGCTCTGCGTGAGCCTTTCGGCCCTTTCCGCTTTACGTACAAGAGGCCCCAAAAGCACGTAGGGCGGGGTTTTGGTGGGGTGCAAGTGACTTGTCCCTTTCATAGGAAGAGCTCGCAGACGGCCTGCAAGAAATTTTTGGGTCTCCGTAATGACTCGGCACAAGAGCTCGATGCTGCTGTCAGGGCAGTGAAAGGCTGGGCACTTTCTTATGACATGTACTCTCGTCAACGAGAACATTTGCATCATGTCTGCAGCGCAGATATGGCACCGGATGCATCAACAATTTCCGCTGCTGTCTTGTTGCTTGCAGATGTCGAGATTCCTCTTCTGCCGAAAACTGATGTCGAATTGGATCGTGAAGCAGGTGCTGCAGCCTCCAGTAGCGCTAAATCCAAAAGCCGTGCCGTTGCTGCGCCCAAAGCCAAGCCGAAACCCAAAGGAAAGTCCAAGGCTCATGCTGCATCTAGAGTGCGGGATCAGACCCGGCCACCTGCGAATCCACCCAGCGATGAAGCTGGGAGTGACCCAGACAGCGATTCGCCAGACAGGACACGGCTTTGAAGCAGAGAGTGACGGTTTGGTTTGGTACATGTTGTCAGTAGACTAGAAACACACACGCACACACGCACACACACACACACACACACACACACACACACCACACACACACACACACACACACACACAGATAGACACACATGTACACACATGCGCACACCCCACACACACACAAACAAGACGCACACACGCACGCACCCGCCCATCCACCCGGAATCCACCCCCCCGCGCACACGCAGACAGACACACTCACGCACACATATATATACACACACATATATATATATATAAACATGTATAGTATATATGTATACATATATATATATATATACGCATACACACACACACATTTTCTCTCTGCCTCTCTCGCAGGACCTCGTGCTCTTCATCTTCAAGCAGCAGTTCCAGCTCATCGAGCTCGTGACAAAGGCCGTGCTTTAATTTCGGATCAGACTTTCGGACCTCGGGGTTCAGGGTTGCTCGGCCGGGTTCCTGTGCAGTGGCTGGCCTTTGCATCGCCCCGTGACTGAGCCCAACAACCTTTAGCAAATCCGCTCACGCAGGCCTTATCGTCTTCCTCGTCAACAAGCACTTCCAGCTCATCAAGCTCTGCAGCAAGGCCGGTGGCCGGCGTGAAGCAAATGTTGTGGTTCGGAACTTCGAATCTCAGGGTTGCCGACCTGTTTGCTTACATCCCATATCTGTGTAGCTTAACGTGCTTCCTCCCGCCCCGACATAGCAACTTGTCCTTGAGGTAGCTTGATAACCGCTGATCGAGTTTGACGCTAACCTGGTCACAGAAACCCGCCCGCAGGACCCTCTCGTCTTCTTCGTCGAGACGCAGTTCCAGTTCGGCAGCCACCTCTTCACGAAGGCAAGGTTGGGTCTGACTTGGACAACTCCAGGGAAGGTTGAGCTCGGAAAGACATTCGGTGCAATAAGGTCCAATGGGGCCTGCCTGAAGCATGTGTGATAAGAGTGAACCAGCGAAACTGTGGCAGGGTGGGGCAACGACTTCGCTGTGGACGATGAGGCGGGCCATCAGTGGGTTCCGTGAGCCCACGTGCAGAGACCGGTGTTTCCGATGTCAATTGTTTGCAAGCATGCCTGTGCGGTTTCAGTTGGGGCTCTCTTTGCCTGTAGCAGTGCAGCTGCTCTGCTTCTCTTTCAAAAAATGAGGCAACCCAACCCCCCAAATTCGAGCCCAAACGGGGGGGTTGGGTTGGACTGGGCCGGGACTGCAAAACAGCATGGGTGTGGCTGGGGTGGACTGGTGTGGAGCTGGTGGGGGTTTTGTTGGGGGGTGGGGGTTGACTTTGGTGTCTGAGGCTGGGGTGGGGTGGGGTCTTTTCGGCGCGGAATGTTGGTTTGGGCCGGCAAGGAGGGTCGAGCCAGTCGAGCCGCGCCAAAACCAGAGTCGAGCCACAGCCAGGTAGAGTCGAGCCCAGTCGAGCCCAGTCGAGCCCCAATATATAAGTAAAGCCGGGCCCGGTCGAGCCCAGTCGAGCCCAGTCGAGCCCGGTCGAGCCGTCGCACCCCAAAGCCAAACAACACCAGAGTGACGTGTTTGGACTAGTTTGGGCCCGAACCGATGCAAATTGTCCGTAGTCCCAAAAAAAATGGTCCCCGTTTTGTAAGGATCTGGCAGATCCCTATCTAACGGGGACCATTTTTTTTACAACCGTCGGGAAACGCCCTTAAAAATGCCGCAACCCCGAACCTCACCCCAAACCCTAGGCCGACCTGTGAAGCCTCAGCTCTAAGCCCGATAGCATCCCGCCAGGACAAGTGCCTGGCCTCGTGGTGGCCTACTGGCCTCAAGGTAGCTCTGTGGATGCATCCCCGGTATGTGGGACGACCTTTTGTGAGGCTTGTGTGTGGAGAAAAAGTAACAACATAACGTCTCGACACATGAGCCTGGCATGTTTGCAGTGGCTGCGGTGTTAGTTTTAGGATTTTAGGATGTGTAGGCTGTGTAGGCTTTTGCTGTCGATGCGACACAACTGCATGTCAACGCCAGCTGCCTTTGTTGTCAACGCCTGCGCGGCCTAGACAAGACCTTTCGTGTTGTGTCAAGCAGGTGTGCCATGTTGCTCTTTTGCCTACAAGTTGTCTGGGTCACCTCAGGCTTCTGGTGGATTGCAGCAGGTTCACTGAGTGGGCCTGATAATGACATGGAGTACGATGACTCCGATGTGGAGCCACAGCCACAGACGCCGCCCCGAGGTGGTAGCCCCAAAAAACCAGCTCCCAAAAGTGGTCAGAAACCCAAGGCTCAGCCTCGAACGTGCAGAGGGCGCCACAAAGCTGCACAGAAAGCAGGTACGAGATGCTGCAAGCTGTGCTGCGTGGTAAAAGATTTGGCGGAGTTTGCGCTAAATCAAGCTAATTGTCAGGGCTGCAAGGCGGCCCTCGACAACATAACGAAGAAGGCAAAGGCCCAAAATCGATTGCCTTGGTTGCACGAGACCTTGAACGATCCGGAACAAACGAAGGACATGCTCAACTCTTACAAAGCCGCCATGCAAAAGGCCAAGGAATTTGGCTCCAGGGGGCCACGCAAAGAGGCATGGAGTCTCGTTGAGTACATAGAGATCATCAAGGCCACCAGTAAGACCAAACGCACCTGCAGAAACCAGCTGATGTGGAAACTTCAGGCGATTGACTTCTACAAGAGCTTGGCAGGAGGGGGGCTGTCCCACAGCCAAGCCGGCAAGAAGTGGGCGGACATGGAGGCTTCCTACATTGCTGAGGGTTTGGAGCATGACCACGATGGCCCAGTGGATGCTCCGCTTCGTCTTCCTGTGCGGGTTGCTGACTTTGTGGACCAAAGCGACTCCATTTCCAGGCAGAAGCAGCGGACTCAGCCTCTGATAAGGTTGGCTGCATATTTGTGTGGCTTGTCGTTGGATCAGAGCATACATGTGTGTCTTGTCACCGGTTCCTTCTCCTTGAGAACAGACTTCTTACATAACGATCGGCCTGGTAGCCGTGGACGCATATAATTTTGAAAAGCGGTCCACCTCTCCCTTTTCGGGTGGTACAGGTCAGTCATGTATGATTCTCGCCAGGTTATTCGGTTTTTATCGTTCCCTCTCTCTCTGTGTCTGGTTTGGCAGAGAAGAGAAAACCGGTTTGTTTCCGGCCAATTTTTCCAGGATGTCCAAGCATGAAGGAGGCCCCTTGTTGCAGGATACTTGGGAAACCGTAGCACGAAGGCATGACTTTGCAGCCCCTTTTTCTGAGGAGGCTGGGAGGTTGAATTGAACAGTTTCACTACTCCTGCGCCACGATCACATTTTGAGGCTGATGCTGGAGCATAAGTCGGTGTTGCAAACCTACCAATCTCGAGCGTGCCATCCATGAACGGCAACATGTCGGCCGTTGAACATATTCAGATTCAGACGTGCCTCCTTCGTGTTCTTCTTTGGTCTGTGCCTTGCCGTGTGTTGTTTTGTCAGGCTGGTCCAGTCCCACGGCAAAGCTATCAAAAAGGGGACCAGCGAGGACGCCGCGAAGTTGGCGAGAGATTTGACGGTTCATCACGATAGAGTTGCCGGTGCTGAGAATTACCGTGACATGGCCACGGCAATCTCGAAGTCCAAGAGCCAGGATGCCATCGACACCCTCTTGCACGACGTCAGGGATTTGGTGCCGCGGGCAGACAGCGAGCCCGTGACGAAGCCGAAGCAGAAGGCAAAGGCCGAGGAGAAGCAGGAAGATGATGCACACGAGGAGGAGGAGCCCACAGCAGAGGACAAAGCAAGAAAGAGGAAGAGGGAGAAATGGTTTGATCGCGATCGTGAAGTCAATCGAGCTCAGAAGGCCTTGGCCAGGGACTTGGACCGGCAGCAAACCCTAGCCGGCACGCTGGTGAGTGACTGGCAAAAGATGCAAACGGAGTTTGCCGCCTTGCCTGCAGATGCTCAGAAGCAACTGCTTGGGGAGAAGCGCATCGGCGAGACGAGGATGCAATGCTTAGAGCATCTGCGTGGCGATGAGGCGATGCTGCAGCGACACCTCAACAGCTACCAGAGCGAGACGGCTCCACGCAGCAATGCTTCCACTGCATCAGCTGATGCAAAGGGCCAGCTAGGTTCTGCACCCCCGTGCCAGTCGTACCGAAGCTTGCATTCTTTCGGTTTCTGGGAGGCCGAGCTGCAGAAAGTCTTGGAGGTCGAGGACCAGGACAGCATCAATCACATCAAAACCGAATGCAACAAGATCAAAGATGTGGTTGCAGAGTTGGGAGGTGCATGTCGCAGTGCGGTGCGTGATTTGAGTCGCTGTATCGCCGCTGTCAAGACTGCTATGCAACAGCGTGAGGCAAAGAAGGCAGCTCAAAAGCAGGTCATGCAGACGCCAAACAAGCTGTTTGCAATCGCTCAGCTTTGTCTTGATGTTGTGGAAGTCGAGGAGGGACAGGCAGACAAGGCCGACTTCAACAAGCCGCTCTTGCTCCGTCTTTCGCACGATGCAGAGGACAGCGTTGCGAAGGCACAGTGTGTCCAGCAGTTCATGATTGCGGAGTTCAAAGAACAATTCAACAATCAGGTCCCGTCGCACCGGTTGGACCGCGCGCACAAGAAGTTCGCCAATGGCTCCCAGATCAAGGACATGATTGCCCAGCGTGCCCAGGAGATCTTCCCACCGTGCAAGCTCCAGGACGGCACGGATGCGGCTGTAGCATCAGCCTTGGACGTCATGGGCATCATTGTCGGCAAGAACACGATCAAGTGTACGCCTGAGAAGTCTTTCTTAGGACTGTGCACTTTGCTGTTAAGTCCTCCAGCTCTCTTGCGTTTGACCTTCCGTTTCAGGCCCACTCCCTTTGTCTGTTCCCACGTGCGCAGGATCACTTCGTTGGGCATTGAGCGGTTGCCGTGAGGTCATCATGGTCAGTGCTGTTGCGTGGCAGAAGTTCTTGGTTTCGAATCACAAGGAGGCTGCGACCCTGCAGCTGGCAAAGGACAAGATGTGGTACCTGGACGAAAAGCTCATCAAGGCTTTCTCGGACGCAGGCGGCGCGGTCTTCGCAGCCACGGTGAAGAAGGCCGATGGGTGTGAGGGTAGTTTCGCAGAAATCCTTGCCTTACTACACCCCAAAGCCTAAACTCTAAACCCTAAGACATAAGCCCTCCCAAACGTTTCTATTGTTTGCCCAATGGCCTGCATGCCGTGGCCAGGGCTTTGGACTATACCTTCCGCCTGCTTGGCTGATGCTGGAGCGAATCACGGGTCCGGATTGCTGGGTGGGGTTTAAGGTTGGTGTGCCATGTCTGACTTTGCAGCAAAACCAGGATCTCAAGGTCATGGAAGGATCATGGGCCCAGGGTGATGCGATCCTGAAGCAGCTCACAGAGGGGAAGCCGCTTGCGGCTCAGGCTCCCCCATCCCAGCAGAACGCTCCTGCAGTGCCGGTCGAAGACCTCACGAAAGGATCGTAGGAGTCCTCGAGGACATGCGGAGCCGAGCATCAACCGCAAATCCGAGGGATCCGAGGCAGCTAGCTTTTGGCTTTTGTTTTCCACTGAGACATCTTTAGCCAGTGCCCTGCATGCTTCACTGAATGTGTGTGCTTGTGGCGGGACGTGCACTGCTGATGTCAAGACCTGTATCTTTCACAAGCCGAGGCCGCAAAGTGCTGGATGTGTGTTTGTTCTTCGTGCACATGTCTGTTTGGCACACCTCTGTGCATTGCAGCAAACAGGGTGAGCAGCTTAAGGTGTGCACATGCGACCTGAAAGTTTTTTGCTTGTTAATTCTCAATGCCAGGTGTGTTTGCTATCGCCTACACAGGTTCACTCCTGTAACAACTGAGTCTAGAGTCTGACCTTATCATACCCGAAGCCCTTCAAGACTCTACGATGTCGAGTTGACTTGTCGCGGTTGTGGTAGCACATGAAGCGCAAGGGCAGCCTGGATGCAGATGGCTGCCACATGGGTTACGCAAAGCCGGGGCAGGCTGCATCTCTGAATTTCTTCGATTTGCCTGCCGGTCCCCGATCGTACGATGAAGTCTTCGATTGGCCAGTGGACATCGCGACTAGAGCACGTGAAATGGTTCAGGCAAGAGGCTCAAGTGGTCTTCCCACGTTGAAGGTTGTGATGACCACTGCCTACAGCGGGATAGGTATGGCAGAGCTGGCGGCATGCTATGTCAAGGATGCTCTGCAGGACATAGGTGTCCATGTCGAGCTTGAGTTTTATGCTGCCTCAGAGATTAATGAAGACTGCCACAAGTTTTTGGGTGCACGTCACATTTTCGGCAATCTTCTAGACCGTGCAGAGCCTGAGGTGTGGGAACATTTGGAGACCATGCAGAGTGAAGCTCATGAGCGGGCCGCTCAAGCTGCCATGGGCTTGAGAGGCAATGCGAAGTCTCGGGCATGGAAAACCGCATCCGATGCATTCATGGATGCTGCGACTTCTTACCTGCACACACAGGCAGAGCAGTTTCGGCCAACAGCATTTTGCTTCAAGTGTCGGAAACAGTGCAGGTGGTTCCCGGAAGTTCCTGTCGACACCTTGTGGTTGGACTGCGGTGGCAACACATGCACACCTTTCTCCTCTCGAGGGAAGGGCTTGAAATGGTTCGATCCCGTGAACCTGGCGGCCATGTCGTGGTGTTTCTCGATGAAGCATATTGCACGGCCCACGTATATTTTGAATGAATGTGTTCCTGGGATGCCGGCTTCGTTTTTTTCGAAATGCTTTGGCGATGAGGTGGCTGTCAACGCAGAGACATTTTCGCCTGTGGATCTCGGAATACCTGCGAACCGGCCTCGACAATACGTCATCGTGAAGCTTTGCACAGGGAGGCCACGGCTTGCGTTCACACGTGAGTTGCTGGCTACTCTTTGTTTCCGAACCCTAGAGTGCACTGGCAGCGTTTTCCTTGGTGCCTCCGATGAGGATGTACATGGATTTTTGAACAACCTCGCACTGGCTCGGCACATTTTTCCCCGTGATGCTGGCCATCCGCATGAATGCAATTTGGTCATGGCTGTTGCTGACAGGACGCGCATGGAAAGTATTCGTGGCGAGCTTGTGCTCAAGGGTTCCTCTGATGTTGCCGATGTGTTCGCAGATGTTTCGCAGTCGTTGGGGTTTGGGCACCCTTCCCTTTGTATCCCGACGATTATCCGCAACAGCAAGATCTACAGCTTCTCGAAGCGCCGACTGCTGTTGACTGCCGAGCTGCAGGGGGTTCAAGGGGTTCCTGTGCTGGGAAGCACCTCGCGATGGCAAAGGCTTATCCCGGAATCAATGAGATCGATCAGCGAGCTGCCGTTTAGCCGTGCTACGGGGCTACTTGGGAACAGCATGCATGCTAGTCAGGTAGGTTGCTGTCTCTTCGTGGCATTGCTGGATGCTGCTGCTGCAGCGGCGTGAAAACTGTCTGACGACGCCATGGGTTCACGTCCACGCCTTGAGCTTCTTACTCTAAACCGCCTAAGCGCCCTTATATGCCCCGAAATTTCAAGCTTTCACAAGCAACTCCCGAAGCACTCTGAGACCATTACAGCCATGTTTTGTTTACTAATGCGCCGTGAGCCAAACACACTGTAGTGCCCGTGCCTTCTATTTCAGAACATCCTGGAAATCAGAAGCAGCTTCCTAACCTATTAGTTGAACCAATCTCTCGAAGTTGTGAGCCCCAGCCTTGTGTTTCAAGCTTCAGGTCCGAAGTCTTGTGCATGTGCAGGGTTTCGGAGGCTTCAGAGCGCAATTTAAATCCTAGCATCTGTTCCTTGGGTTGGGATGCTTAGCAAATCCTCATGTTTGGGCCGGCAGGTGAATTGAGGCTGTAGGTTTTAGAGGTTTGGGTGTTAAGGCATGGGGTTTGTTACACAGTTTAACAGGCTCTGGGGTAATATGTTTTGGTATTCGGTATTCATATCTCATTTCAGGACATATTATCGTGTCAAGCCGTCTTAACACTTGTATTTGTCATCATAGCTTGGAAAAGCTTTGTGAAGTAGGCAGACTGTTTTGAGGTCAGTGGCCAAGCGTTCAGGGAAAAGGGTACAGGGTTGAGGAGTTGGTGTTTCGGCGTCAGGGGGTAAGCTCAGGGGCTACAAGCCTGGGTTTAAAGTTTAAGGCTGGGCTTTCGCAAGATTTCCGTCTACCGTAAGTTTCACTACGTCCACATATGTGGCAACTAAGAAACTTCGATCGTTTTCCTGTCAGCAATGTTGGGAGCTTTTCTTGAAAAGAGGTCTTTTGGTTCCGAAAATCAAAGCTTGGGATTTCGTGACCTGTGATGTTCGTCGTTCGGAGAAAGAATGCACCAGCACGCTTGTCGTAGGGCCACAGCCAGGTGTGTGTCACAAAGACTGCTGGGGTGTGTGGGGGCACCCCGGACCGGGTCGGTGTGCCAAAACGCGGGGCTCATGTGACTCCTAATAGTGAGGAGAAGTTGTACATGGAAACGGATGTATTCGAAAGGTTCGTCTTCCAACACTTGCGCGCCACACGCCGAACTTTCTTGCGCGCAGAAGCTGCGGTCACTTCTGAGGTACTTGCACGTCTCGAAGAAAACCAAACAGTCAGGGTCCTTGCAGACAACTCAGTGGACGGCCAGTGGCAGATCGTTGATGGTAGCATCTTGCGGACGCGAGTTTCTTGCGGAGGACAGGTTGGCTGGGCTGCTTGGCTTTTCGAATCTTTTTCTCATCAGCTGTACGCCACTGCCGTCACGATGAGCTGTGTGCTTCCAAACCTTCTAGACTGTGTCCGAAAGTGAAACGCTTGATTTGTTGAGCTTTCTTCCTGTGTACGTAAAGGCTTCTGATTCTGGATCTTATGTCAATGTCTACTTGGAGGTTGAGGGAAGGAAGGAGTTTCAGAAAATAAAGGGTATACCGTATTTGGGGTTCCTTGTAATGGGGGTCCTACTGTACCTCGAATCTTATATCCTAAAGGCCACGAAGCTTTTACATCCCGTATTGTAGGCCCTTATTCCCCTCAGCCCTAAGTCTGTGACCCTGATACTGCTACAGTACGTTTGTTGGCCCAGGTTACTCTGAAGGGCAATTTGGGCACAGTCTATTTTGCGCCGGCTTGGCCAGACTTCTACCAGAATCCCGCCCGCGAAACCTTCCTCGCTAAGAAGGATATTGAGCAAGAAGACGCCTTTTTGGACGAGTTGTACGATATGAATGATTCGGAGGAGGAGGACGAGGAGGAGCAGGGGGTGCAAGAGGAGCGGGCCGCGACTGATGACGTGAGCGCCGTGCCGGATGGCGCGGAGCCTGTGTCTGCATTTGTTGGCAAGCGTGGTCCAGAGACCCAAGACCAGGCTCAACCGACAGGTTCTAAGCGACACAGATCAGATGGACCGCGACAGATCAAACTTTTGCAATCGATTGCCAAGCTTCAAGCTTCCACAGGTCTGTTGATACCCAAGGCCGCCTTTGGCAACCTGGTTTTGGATGTACTCAAGGAGCAATGTGCCTTGCGTGATGTGGAGCAGTTCAAGATATCTACCGGTGCGCTGGAAGCTTTACAGCACATGGCAGAGGCTTTGATGACCGACTTCTTCAGAGATGCAAACCTTTGCTCGCAACACGCGCGCAGAATCACGATCATGCCAACGGACCTCGTGCTGCTGAGGCGCTTGGGCCACTCCGCGCAGTGAAAAAGGAATCCGTTGAGGGACCTCAGTGCTTGAGCCCCACAGTCCGTTCTCTCAGCCACATCTTGGTTCTTTCA